AAACGTGGGACCCAGACTCTGTGGGAAGGGGCCTTGCTTTTCTCCAAAGCTCTGTCTGCATTGCTCACTGTGCAACAGTTTAAGCTGCTAATTCACCATGGACTGAATTGCATGGACTACAAGGTATGGCCAACAAAGAAGTACGAAAGAAAGTGCATAAAGATCAAGAAATTGTAAAATACAGAAAATTAGAGTATTTTGCTCTTATCATGAGAAATGAAAAATGGAGAGTGCTGTAGCTGATTGTATGGTAAAACAAATTGGGAAAAGATGTGTAAGAAGAAGCAAAAAGGTCTTGGCTGAAAAGTCTTAATAGGTTGGGGTGATGCAATATCATTTTTTAGAGTGGTTGCATCAAAAGGAGAGGAGGAAAATGCAAAAGAATACGTACATCAAGCACGCTAGCTGCACTGTTCTAGTATACTCCAAAATCTGTCTTCCCAGCCTGGCTTGCCCCAGATTAATTTTGTAGCAGTCAAAACATGCCAGAACAGCTTTGTAGGCCACGCTCTAGGAATCAGTATGCACATTAGATACGTCCTAGCAAATGAACCAATAAAAATTAGGTCTTGTACCCCATTAAAAAGATACAGTTAGATCTGTGTACTGCGATAGATTATGGATATGTTTGCCATAAAACCTAACCACCCAGATGTAAAGAAGGACATTACAATGTGGTTTCCTTTTTGCAATATCCTCTTTATTGTTGTACACACAGAATAAACTTTAGCTGAAGACCAAAACAGGTTTAACAGTAGATTCCTTCCCAGAACCGATCTACATATTTGGAAGATGTACATGTCACCCCTGCCTCTGCAGGGACTGTACCACTTCAGGAGGAAGTGCAGGATGAGATCACATAGGAAAATGCTCCATTGCACGGAAAATAACATAAAAATCTTGGCATGTTGAGAACTGGCAGACCAAGAAGATTGGGCCATTTCCCACAGAGAAGTGGCTTGTGAAAGAGCAAGTGAGGATCAGGGTATCGTGTACATTCGCCAAAGTGGTACAGTGCTTTGCGTTCTTTTTCTGAAAGTTAAAAGCAAAGCAAGTGGAACATGAAGAGGTGTGCCTGGGTGTGAAAAAGGGACGCGTGGCACTGCTTGTCTTCACTGAACAAAAATGCACGCAACTGCCAGAAACAGGAGTGCCATCCCCCCTTTCCAAGTTTGTGGCTTGGTGTCTAAGTTGGTCAAGCCAGAGAGCATGTCGAGCTCCGAGAAGTGGCAGTGGGGGGTGGAAGCATCCAACATGCTGCCAGCTCTTGCTGCCCACTGCGAACTTCCCAAAGGCAGCTCAGATGCTTGTCCAGAGTGCCAGCAGGTCTGTTTTTCATGCAGTCCATTGAGGTTCATTTCAGCTTGTGAAATGTTTAAAACTCGTAAGGATAAACTGAGATTAAAATGTTCCCATTTCATAGACAGGCAAACCTTCTGGGAAATAATCAGAATAATGAAGTGGGGTGGGAGAAATTTGGAATATATTAAACATGGGAGGGAAAAGGGAGTTGGGGAGAAAACACCCCCCCCCACAGCCTTTCTGTTTGCCACCTTATTGATTTCTTTTATGTTAGCACAAGAACAATTCAGAAAGCACACACATTAATTCATCTCACCAAAGTCACAGCTTGAATCAACTTTACAATGCAACAAAGCAAAATCAAAGCAATTGAACATTTTTAAATCATATATATTAGGTTTATATCTTCTAGAAGGTAAAGGACAAACAGAACATATTGAATTATAGTTAATGCAGTATTTCAGAGCACGGCCATTTCTGGCAATGAGCTGCCCAGGAACAGAGAAGCAGCAGGCATGGCGAAGCAAGGAACATGCCAAGTGAAACGGTTCACCTGGGGGCAGTGGGATGGGGAAACGGGCGCACATTTGCTTATCTCTGCCGTGATCATGTTGTACTAAGAACAATTGGGAAGAAACCTTTCCCCTTCTCTCAAGTCATGAATAAATCAGACTTATAGTGCAATTGAGTAAAACCATTTTTTTTTCTAAACAAAAACACACAGTGTGCAAATTCTAGAAAACACACAGAAGAAATACAACACAAACAGAATATATTTAATTAGGATCAGAAAACCCTATGCAAGTAACGTAAGGGGTGCAATCCAATACAAACTTAGACAGAAAAAGGAGCTGCATCAGATGTAGCTCTTTTTCAGTATAAACTTGTAAAGGAGTGCATTTTTTAAACGATTTTTAAAACTTGCCCCAAGAACCTGGAAGAACATGCCAGCTCCTTGGCCCTGTTGCAACCAAAGGCTTCAGCCTCCCCACTGAATTTGTGTCAGAGGTGCCAGCCCTGGCAGCAACTAGGCACGTTTGCAATGAATGCTCGGGACTTTTTATACAATAATGCCAACATTTATCAAGGAGGGCTTGTGGGGCGCATACTACCTGGTGTTGTTCGGGCTGCTGGGTGGGGTGGGGGTGGGGGGCGGGTGCACTTAAAAAGAGCATAGACCATGGACATATTTTTAAAAATCGTAGCTTCCAGTTTATTACTTGTCCACTGTGACTAACGTAGATCCAAGATCAGCATCCAGAAACATGTCCAGCATGTGACGTCTTCATGTTTGGGTTTCCCCTGGAAAGGCACAGAAAGTTGGAAGCTGGGCGTTTCCTAAATCACTTCTGAGCAAAGCAAAATGTTAAATCCAGCATCTAATTAATGCAGGCGGAAGGGATGTGGATCTGGATTACCCTCGCCGAGCTGGACAGCGGGGCATGAGCTGATTTTGGGCTCTCGAGAAGGGGCCATCCCCTTCCCTGCCCACCAGCAAAGATTTTTCAGGTAGCATGTATAACATGTATCCCCCACCTGTTTTTCTCAAGGAGGCTGATCTACGCCGCCTCCGTCCTGTTTATCTTCTTAGCCACCCTGCCCAAGCTGGCCAGTGCGCTACCTGGCTGGGTGGGGATTTGAACCCAGATCTCCCAAGTCCCGGTCCAGTGCTAATCACTTTGCCAGACTGGCTCCCCTTTGTCAGGAGCTGAGGGTCTCCCGAATGTGATGCATCTTTCTCCCTGTTCTAAAGGGCTGAGTGACAGGAGAAGAAAAGCTCGGTGCAGAAAAGAGGAAGTTGCTCTTCATACTTTGCCCTCAGCTTCTCTTCCTGCCCGCCCCTCGCTCCAATGCAGCCCCAAGAGCATCGCAGAAAGAGCACTCTGCTCTGGGGCTGAAAGACAGTCTCCCTGCAGAACGGTTGCCACAGAAGGCCAATTTCCCTGGGCCAGCTGAGCAGGACCAAGGAAACACACCGGCTCAGCGCTCTTTCAGTGCAGCACAGCAGAGCACTGAGCTAGTTTGGTGGGCAGCAGAGAAGGAAGGAACTCTGCAGAGCATAAGAACCAACCGCTCTCCTGGATTTCCCAGTTCTGGGTGTCGTGCTGACATCTAGTGGTTTACAAAAGCCACGAACATCAGCAGAAAAAGATTTGCCTGCAGACCAACATGCAGGACAAGACACACGGACTGGGCTCAGACAACATGCACTCAAGGTTTAAGCATGGGTTGAATGTGGGCTACTGCTGAACTCTGGTTTGCTCCAGAAATGTCGGTTATTCTGTGGTCTGAACCCAGCTAAGATAAACCATGGCTTGTTAACCACAAAGAACCCATAAGGAGAATCCATGGTTTGTTGCTTGGTGGTGAAACTCTGGGTCGTTTGCCATGGCTTCTTATCTTAGGAAGGTACAGACACACTGTGATAACCTATGATTCCAAGACAACTTGTGCTCATTCCATCATCTGCCCTTGAGTGTGGGTTATCATCCAGGCTGAACTTGGTTTCTCCAATAACCCATGGCTTGTCAACCATGAAAACCTGATGCAGAAAACCCATTGTCTGTTGTTGGGTTATGAACTGCGAGTAGTTTTTGTTATCAGTTGGGTTCAGACAATATATTGACCTGTGATGCAGTGTTGGATTGGTTCTCGGGAGCAGGGATGGATGAGGAATACATTTGGGGGCAGGAATCTGTCAGGTTCCCCAGCTTGCTTCCCCAGACTCAGTTCCATTTTGGAGCAGCCCCGAGTCAGTTTCCCAGTGAGTTTGCTCAGCATCTGGGGACACTCGCCAGGAATCGAGCCATGTGGGCTGCACAAGCACTGCCCTTCTTCCGCACATCTGATGCAGCCGCCATTTGGGCTGCTTCCTCCGAGGTGGAGGAAGGCTGGCTGCACGGGCTTTGCCGGGAATGGAGCCGCCTGCAGCTGCTCTTCCCAACCACTACCAGCAGCCTCCATGCTCCTGCACCTGGCGCAGAACGTTCCCAGTTGCGCAGCCTCCCTTCTGTGAGGGTCAGCAGACTTGCTTTCTGCTCGGCTCCCCTTGGAGCATGAGAGCACCTCCGTGAATGCGAGAGGGATGGATTCTGCGAGGGCTTGTCCCAGCCCAAGGAGGGAGATCCGGGTTCGAGTCTCCCCTTGGCCATGAAACTTACTGGGGGACTTTGCTCCAGGCACAGACTCTCAGCCCAGCCTACCTCACAGGGCTGTTGTTGAGAGGAGGAGACACTTGCAAGCTCCTTTGTGAGGAGAAGAAGGAGGGTGAGGTGCAAACGTCATGCAGTGAAAACGGCAATAAGAGCCTAACTCAGCCCATAAGAGGGGCCCTCCTGTTCCTGGGCTTCAGTCATGAAAACTACTCAAGAAGTACTGAGCACACTCCTTGCTCAATGAGGACTGGAGGCATGTAATGGTTGGGGCTGAAACCGTGACCAGGAAAAGCTTGGGCGGCAACGTTGCGCATGCTTTCAGAGGGGCACTTTTCAGACTGTGGTCTGGGGAATCCCAGAGGGTTTCCTGCAAAATTTCATGGAGGTTCCAGTGCGGTAAAGGCCAACACGCCTCCTCCTTTCCCTGTGAAGCCCCCCCCACCCCGATAAGCAACGGGCGTCATGAACGAGCCCGAGTGGTCTCACACACGCATTCTTCTTTGAGACTCGTCCTCTCCCCCCACCCACCTTTACCTGATTAATTCAGTCAGCACTGGGCCCAGGCTCCTTGGATTCTGCCCCCTCTGCTGCTTGGCCCTGATCCGTGGCTCCTGGCTGCGCCGAGGGTTCTGGGTCATCTGTGCTCGGAGGCTGCTCCAAGGATTGCAACGGAGCAGGGGGTCCAGGCTGAGCGAAGGCATCCAGCAGGGCTGGGGCTTCCTGCTCTTCTGAGGATTCTGGGACCCCCAGGAAGGATGAGGTCTCCTTCAGAACCACCTTGACTGAGGGCTCATCCTCCAGGCCGGGCACTTCGGCAACCTCTGGCCACACGGGCAACTCACCGCGGTCAAAACAATTCAATCTCGTCTCCATCACTTCGCGAATCATGCCTGCAAAGGGAGTTATTGTGCAGGGTTTTATCCTGCCCTAAAAGTGGAAAGACCCCCCATGCCAGCACCCCTGTGCATTTCTGGAAGTGTGAATTGGCGCAAACATGAATCTGTGCAAGCACGTGTGCAGGCACACACTCTCCGGTTCTGTCAACGAGTGGACAATCATTTGGAAAGTGCAGGTGGGACGCTCCGGGAAGTGTGTCGCAGAGTTTGGAGTGGTCCTGGAGCAGGACTCTCCTGCAGGCCTGACAGGGGGTCTCTGCCGGGGCGGGACTTGAAGCAGAGCATGAACATCCCAACGGAGCATAAAGCAGAATGTTCAACTCACTGTCGGTGAGCAGTCTGCCGAGGGTCTTGCTCTCCATCGTCTCTTCAACCTTCTCCATCACCCACGGGAAGAATCCGGTCTCGACATCTGCACAGAGCGACATCTGAACTAGGGGGAGCGGTTCCCTCTGAGCGCCCCCAATGCTTCGGGCTCTGCCTCCAGCCCCACCCCCTATATACCAGCATGCAGACCTGGCCTCCAAGGGGACCCCAGCACTGCCCCCTGCAGCCCCCTGCTCCACCCACCTCTTTCCACAGGGTCGAAGAAGTAGCCACTGTCGCGAAGGCTGCTGAAGACGGACGGGATGAGGTCCGAGAGGTACCTCTGGGCAAAGGCGCGAGCCGCAATCTTCTCCGACGTTTCCTTCTCCTTTTGCAGGACCAGCATCTGCTGCTTTTTGCGGCGTTGCTGCATGAGGGAGCAAAGCCGGTGACGCAGCAGCGAGGCTGAGGTAGGTGCTTCCCACTGGCCCGTGCACAAAGGCAGCCTGGGCGTTTTGTGCCAAAGCAGCAGCGGGAGCGGAGGGGCAGCAGAGAGGCAGGCGGGCAGCATGGGCAGGGATGGAGGAAGCGGGCGGGTGCCACTGAAAGCACAGAGAGAGGAAGGTGACCGCCTTGGGCCCTGCCCGCTCCTGGCAGGCCGCTTGGCAGACCACTCCCGGGAAAACGTGGCCTGGGATAGGAAGCTGTGCTCTGAACTGAACACTCCCGGGGGCCTTTAGAGCAGCACGCCCCACCCCGCACGCCGCACCTTCTCCTCTCTGTGCCGCCGCTCTTGCTCCTCCAGGCGCTGGACCTCGGCCAGCTCCGCGAAGCGCAGCTCCTGGTAGATGCACTGGTGAGCCCGCAGGTCGGCCAGCTCCTCCTCCTCCATGACCTCCAGCAAGGCCTGCTCTATCGTCTTGCCCACCAGCACTTCCAGCATCGGCTGGACTTCAATGTCGAAGTCAAACAGCTGTGTGTTGCGGGGAGGAAGAACCCGAAGCAGAAGGTTTAGAACCGGGCCGGGATCCTGGGGAAGAGGCTTTTCTGAGGAGCCTGCTGCTCTGTTTCTTCGTGGGCTTTCCTGAGTGGCTGGGGAAACCCAGCCGAAGCCTCCCCACTCCCAGCGCTGCCGCTGGCACGTAAGGGGGGGAAATGGCCCCAAGATTCTGGTTCTCAGCCCATTGCGTTCTTTCCAAGGAAGTGGTAGGCAAGGCTCACATCCCTCTGGGGTCCTTCCCTCTCAGCCTGCCTCTTCCTGACCGATTACCACCCAGCATGGTGGAACGGGACAGTATCTTTGGTACGAGTACAACCCAGTCCCTGAGCGGCAGGGCGAGGAAACCAGCACGTCCCCTTCCGCAACACAACAGGTGAGATCATTCCGACCAGCAGGGGAGATCTCACCACTTGTCCCAGGGTTGCCATCCTTCAGCTGTGAGGACATGCCCTTTTCTGTGGTTGCTCCCCCCTTGTGGAACAAGCTCCCCCCTGGGGGGTGGGGCAGGAGGGACTTGCCGAATGTAGCCCCTTAGAGACCCATCTGCTCACCCAAGGCTTTCTCTGAGCGAGCAGGCTTTCCAGTGTAAGCACGGTCTTACGCTGGTTTTAATCTTTTTAAAATGGAGGTTTTTGTAAGCATTGCATATTTTAATCGCAGATGCATTTGCACTGTAAAATCCATTCTGCCCACATTATGTGGACTGTCAGGCGCATTTCATTCCATTCACCAAACCGGACTGTGCACATTCTTATGCATCTGTGCAACTCTGTGCTCCTCAAAGTGCAGACATACCCCTAAATTCCAGAAAAATGCATATTATATTTTAGCCTATGGAAGAAAGGCCCCATTTTGGTCAGTATTAAATTTTGTGACTAAATTTGCATAAATTAATGGAAAAATTTAAAATCCCACTCTGCAAAGCTGTGCATCTTGGCACTGAGGAATCCATGGCTGGAATTTTACAAATTCAACCTTGTTTGATTCCAGTGCCAATTTCTTGGTCATTTCTAATTTTAATTGCATTTTAGGTATATTGTAGCATATTTTAATGCATATTTTTGTAAACTGCTTAGAGTTATACAACTATGATAAAAATGGTTAAATTAAATGCATATTAACTGGACCAAAAATCCATAGAATTCCTAAGCATACTTTGTTTTGTGTTCCCCCAGAATGGCTGGATAAATTTATTTTCCCCTACCCGTGCAAACATGCTCTGAGAAATGTTGGCAGTTTCACCAGCCCCAAGCGAGGCAGAGACAATCTGGGAGCCTTTCCTTGTGCAGTTCCAAGTTCCGCTCCTGCACGACGACTCCAACTGGCCCAAGCTGTGGAATGGCCTTTCCCACCCATCATCCAGTCCAGCCAGTGTGAGGCCACAGTGCCCATCATCCCCCATACCTCTCCTTCCCAGATCTGCGTGGCCACATCTTTGCCCGTCTTTGCAGGAATGAAGAGTGGAGTTGGAGGCCTGTCCAGGAAAGCGTCTGTCTGGCACTCCATATCAACCTCGATGATGCGGTCTGCCAGCTCCTCTAGGTACAGTTCTGAAACGGCATGCAGGTCCCTCACCTGGCTGGCTGCAGGGCTGACGCTGGTCAGCAGCACCAGCCGCGATCAATCGATCGATCGATTGATCGTCAACCACGATCATTCGTACAACAGGAAGAGCAGATTGGAAGCCGTGAGAATGCCATTCTCCAAGCAGGAGTCTGCCCCCCCCCCCGCCCCGCCTCTATTTATTTGCCCGCCCCCCCCCCATGCCTGAGCTGTGGGCGCACATGAGAACCACAAAATGGTGGCATTCGTGAGGATGTGCTGTGGGGAAAGAAAGGCCTCCAGGTAGGGATGTGCGAGGAAGAGGTCCCTGGTGTGGGGGAATCCCCCGGGTTCCTTGGGCTTGCTCTCCGGACACTGGTCGGCCTTGCAGTGGCCCTGAGCACAACTTCCCAGTGCGCATGCCCAGGGTTTGTGGGGTGGGCGCACAGAACTGCGCCCCACGTGGTGTGCAAGCACTGCCAGGCAGAGAAGAAGTGGGAGGACAGGAATGGGGCCCTAGCCCTGACCCTCTTCCTTGCACTGCAGCTGCTCGTGGCCAGTTGCACTTGTGGGGAAAGCTGCCGGCTGTGCAGTGGGGCTCCACAAGTGCTCACTCGGCTCGCTTTGCAGGATTGGGCCGAGCATGAGAGGAAACCTGTGGATGCTGGAGGGGGGCATTCTAGGAGGGTTTGCCCCAGGCCGATCTCCAGCGTGTGAGGTTGTAGGTGGCAAGCGTTCCCTGTTGTGCGCTTAGCCTCGTGTCAGTTGTGGGGCTGGGTGTGTTTCCTTTTTGGGTGAGGAGGGCTTCCTGGTGGCACACCCCTCCCTGTCTCTGGACTCCTCTGGCCGCAGTTACGGATGAGGAGGAGGCGAACGTGGACCCAGAGGAGACCCTTCCCAACAGGGCACCCCGTGGGCCGCCGAGGCTCCCCGGCTGCCGTCATGTGCCACAGCTCCGGGTACCTCGTGTCGCGGATGCCTGTCCCATCCCCCTCCACTCGCATCCAAGCCCAGCCCTCCTTCCCGAGTCGTCACTGCATCTCACCCGAGAAGCACGGCAAGGAGAGGCCAGCAGGTTAGGCAAGGGGCAAAAGGCCCCCTGCCTGGTCTGCATTCAGCAGCCACGGGTTCAGGCACGGCCTTTCCGGGTTCGGGAGCGGCAAAACCTCCCTGGCTCCAGCCAAGTGTGCGTGTGTGTGCAGGAACAGTTGCCCACGTCCCGCCTCATCACAGGCTTCCCCGGCCGGCTACCTGTTTGCACGTCAACATGCCGGCGGCCCTCCAAGGGGTCGGGTGTCCTCGTCCGGAGCTGTTCCTTGGCTCGCTTCCTAGCCAGCGCTTTCCGGTGGGCTTCTCGTTGCTTCTGAAGCTCGAGGGGGTCAGGTTCACTGCTCTGGAGAGAGAAAATCAGGCAATTTGCCCTCTGGAAAGCTCTTCCGGATGCGACCCCCAGGGTCAACGGCCGGCTGGCCTCCTGAATGCGTGCCACACCAACCGTGACCCACATTGCTATATGATTCTGTGTAGTCCCGTTCCCAGGACTCCCAGCTATTGTGCGCATCTGCTGTGGCTGACGGGGGCTGGGGTCCAAAACTTCTGGCCAGCACCAGGCTGAGGCAAGCCTGTCCTGGGAACAAAGCATGGACTCCATGGTGAGGCTCCTCGGGCCCAGGCGCGCCTCCAGGTGCAGCGGAAACACAGAGCTCTGCTTCTGTGCGCAGGTGCTGGCCACAGTCGGCAGCTGCTCCCTTCCGAGCCTGGCCTCCGGCTGGGCCTGGCGCTTTCCCTCTCGGGCCTGCAATTTGCCCGGGAGCCCAGCTCAAAGCACCTCACAGGTCAGCAGAGAAGCCTCTGCTGAGGTGCCCAGGTTTGGGTAGCAGGGAGCCTCACAGGGGAGGGGGCTTGGGGCATCGTAGCCCGGGGGGGATTTGACCCAGACCGGCCTGGAGGGATGCTGCGCACAGGCAGCAACTGGGGCTGTTGCCGTCACGGTCCTGGTTGGATTCTGGGGTTCCCCACAGCTGTGACCTTGAGACTCCTTGGGACCTTGCCCCGAGGGGATCGCTGCAGCAGGTGTGCTCTGTGCTTCCCGCCTTAACCGCTCTCCTCATCTGCATCGCCTAATGCATGGCGGAGCCATAGCGCACTTGTTGTGCTCCAGATCCTGCAAAGTGCCTCCCCCAGGGCCCACCCCTCCCACTTCCCAGGGACAGGCATGCCCCTCCGAGGGCCACTGGAGACTGGGGCGACGAGGCGCTGGGAGCGGGGCAGGGAAGGTCTCCTGCGTGTGTCTGGCGCAGGACCGTTTCTTGGAAAGAAGCTTGTCCGGGCTCCGGTTACCATGTCACTGCCGGTTCTGTGCCGCCCTGCCTGTGAAGTGCACACTGCCACGTCCCCGGGGCAAAGAGTCCGACATCTTGGATCACGCTACTCTCCAGATGTTAATGAAACCTTTCCAAAGCAGCTTTTTCAAAAAAAGGTAATTGCAGTTTAGCCGAGCACTTAGTTTTCTTTCTTTTATTTGGCTCAGAATATTAATCAATCCCACTGCTCAGCACCAAATATCTGTCTATCCATCTGTCTTGTGAAATATCACATTGATTAAATAGCAGGGAACATCCATTTTTACACAAGTTCACAGCAATAATTGAAGAAAAAATAATTAATTTCTATGTCATATTTCTGATGCTCAAGAAAAGGATCCCATATATGCACATATTTGTGATTCCTTTGCCAGCCTGGACTCAATCCAACCATCTCACTAATGTTAAGTAATAGGGCAATTTGGAAAACTGTAATGAACTGTTTCTTTGCATGTGATTGATTTTGCATTTCTAGGTATTGTTATTATTATTACATCGTTATATTTCTGTACTGCCCATAGCGGAAGCTCTCTGAAGGGTGGGATTCACCCACCCAGATTTCAACAAGGCCTGAACCTGCTTAGCTTCTGAGATAAGGCAGGATAATTTTAATGCAATTCACAACACTGATACCCTCGGCTAATGGATTTTTTGGATTATGAATATTTCATTTCATTTCATTTTTATGCTGCCCAAAAGTTATAAATATATGAATCATTTAATGGCTCAAATACAATTCCCCAAGGCGGCTTTAAAATTAAAACTTGTGTGGCTGCTAATTCTGCTGTGAAATTACAACCTGGGTGTGAACCTTTGCCTGGAGCACGTAAGCTTTTAGTCTTAACTCATAAAGACAGTGAGGAAGGATTTCTGGAAGGAGAAGCACGCACCCAAGGTAACACGTGAAGGGCATACGTGTTGCCACGAACCACTCTTCTCTCGTACATGAGGTTTGCATAGTGAATCGGTTCTTCCTCGCTGTAGTCCCCATGATAAAGGTTGTGGGGAGAACAAGAGAAAAAGAAGATGATCAGAACAGGAGTCAGCTCAGAGACGCCAATGTTTGCAATGCCTGGGAAAACACACCAATGACCTGCATTTTTATTATACTTCATGAAGAGCAAAAACATCTCTTCTTGCCTGGGACACTGAAACTTGTGGGGGAAGGCCATATCTCAGTGGCAGAACGCTGGCTTTCCAGATAGAAGGCCTCAGGTTACGTTCCTTGTTGCTCCGGGCAGGGCTGGGGACAATCCAGTTCTGACCCCTGGAGAGCCGCTGTGCCCATCCAGACAGAGCCAGGTAAGCAGTAGGTCTGAATTGACATAGGAGACTGCCTTGCTCACATTAGAATACCCTCTCATTCACAACCATGAGGACTGGAATCTTCCTTTATCTTTAAGGGGAGGACCACAGCACATGCAGGGAGACCCTCCCAGTGCCAGGTTCGGTCCCCAGCAGCTCCAGGCAGGGCTGGGAAAGACCTGGGTCTGAAACCCTGCCAGCCAGTGCAGGCAACATCGCACCATATTACAGCCCAAGGGCTGACACGCCCTTGGTCAATAGGCTCATAGAAGAGTTGGGAGGAGCCATGGTGGCCATCGAGCCCAACCCCCTGCTGCTGCAGGACACCAGTTCGCACCCTCCCACTCGGAGGGCTGCCCAGTTTCTCCTTGAATGTCTCCAGTGTGGGAGCGCCCACCACCTCTCTGGGCAGCTGACCCCACTGTCCTATTGCTCTGACCGTGAGGAAATTCTTCCATGCGTCTACCCTGCCCCTGGTGTACTCTAGCTGAGGGTCACTGCTCTGTGTCCTACACTCTGGGATGAGTGAGAGGAGGCCTTCTCCTTCTTCTTTGTGACAGCCTTTGAGGTACCTGCCATCCCGTCTCCATGAAGTCTTCTTTGTTTAAGGCCAAGCAACCCCAGTTCTTTTAGCCTCCCATCATAAGACTTATTTCCCAGGCCCTGTGTCATCTTACTGCCCTCCTCTGAACCCTCCCCAGATTTGCAACCTCCTTTCTAAACCTGGGTGCCCAAAACTGAAGGTTGTTCTCCAGGTGAGGTCTGATTAGGACAGAGCAAAGGGGAATGAGTGCGTCCCCTTTTCTGGAAGTGATGCTTCTTTTTATGCATCCCAAAAACATGTTTGCCTTTTGTGTGGTTGCATCACGGTGCTGGCTTATGCATGCCTCCAAGAGGAGTTGAGCTCTAAGCTGCATCCGGCAAAGCACACAGCTGCGGGTCCTGCTCATGCTTGTGTCTATTTGTGCCAGACAAACTTTTCTATCCAGGGAGGGAGAAGCCAACACTTCTGTCTGAGGTGATATTACCTGTGAGTACCTATACTAGAGAACCTGCTTTGCAGGCCAAGCTCCTTTAAAAGCAAAGATTCCAGTCCTCATGCTTCTGCATAAAGGGCTGGTATCAAATAAAAAGCCACTTTATGCCAGATACACCAGGAATATTGGCTCTGTAACTAACAGATTCCGGTCTGCCCATTCTCCTGCTGCATCCCTGCCTTTTGAAAAAAAATTAATGGGGAATTCAACATGCACAGCTGGTGCGTTTGTCACTAGAGTGTCAGAATGGTTACAGAATGTACAGTCCAGAGCAAAAGGGACAGACCATACCCCTCTCCCTGCCGCCACAAACAAAAAGCCAGCAACAAAAACATACAGGGCTTAGGGAGGGATTTTGCTTTGCACATGGAAGGGCCCGGGTTCAATCCCGGCAGCATCCACTGGGAGGACTCAGAAAGGGTCCCGATCCTGGCCAGATGGACTCAAGCGCAACCCTATGCATGTTTCGGCAGAAGGGGGCCTCCCACTCCCAGCATGCCCCAGCCAGCAGCATGCTTCTAGCAAGCATGTGCAAAAAGCCGGTCTCTGTGCATGGGAGCTTGCAGTCTTGATGTCAGGCAACCAGGCAGGTTGTTGAGAGGCAGACTGGAGAAGAACAAAGACACATAAGGTTGTAAACTTTTTGACAAACTTGTTCTGACCGTGTGCTGACACCATCCTTTATTTAGGTGTATTTTTCAGGTGAAAATTCAGGATGTAGAGAAGACGGCTGAGAGACAGGCCCGCCGAGCGATGCAGTGGAATTTTGTATTTTCGCCCAAGAGCCGCTTCAGAGCTTTCTCTGTTCCTGCCTGAAGCCGTGCATCGGCCTTTGCCCCAGCTGCTACCCCATCGGACTCGCTGGGCGAAGCTGGCTGGGGATTATGGGAGTTGTAGTCTGGCACTTTGGGGGAGCGGCCTGGGGTGAGGCTGGGGGAGCAGCAAACTTGTGCTCATGGCCGGGCCCTCCTGCCAGGGGACAAAGGTACTCACATCTCGGCGGCATCCAGCGAGTGGCGGTACCGCCGCCTGGCAGGCACGGCCCGAGGTCGGCTGCAGTACGAGTAGGTGGCGGAGGGCGCCGCGGCCTCATCACGGGCCACGAGCACCGAGGTGGAGGCCATGCCGCGGCTCCAGCCGCCTCCAGGACACCGAGGCCTCGCTCTGCCGCCGAGGAGAAGAATCCCTCCCCAGTGACGGTTGCCAGGAGACCCAGTGGCGGTCGCTCGGCAACAGTTGCCACGGTAAACTGATCCCCAGACCTGGCATTGGTTCCGGCTGGGTGCAACCTCCTTTCCCTCTGAGCAAACATGACGCGGATTGCTCAGAAGTTTCTGCAGGGAATGGCCAAAGCGTGGGGACTTTCTCAGCTCTGGGGAAAAGGGGAAGACAGAGGCCGACCACGTCAGACCCCTGGCCTGGCTGGCTGGAAACACCTGCAAAGAAGCCTCTCCCTTAATTAATAAGCAATGATTCTAGTACTCATGGTTGCAAATAAATAGAAACCAAAGCTGAGTCCAGGAAACCAGCTGCATATAGAGATAGCCCTTGGTCCACGCAGCTCAGGATTGTGAGTGAATTTCCAGATTTTCGGGGAGGGGTCCTTCCCAGGGCTACCTTGAGATGCTTGAGACCTTCCACATGCAAAGACAGGGCTCTACCATGGAAGCTTTTCCCTGTGAGGAAGATTCTAGTCCTCATAGTTCTAAATATAGAGTAGATTTAAATCAAGAGGAAGAAACAGGCTTATATGGATTCAGACCCACAGAATCGCCTCTGCTGTATACTTGAGGTCTTTCCAGCTCCACCTGGAGTCTAACCTGGGTCCCCAGGCTTGCACAGCAAGTGTGCTATCACACCCTGGAAATGGTTTAAAAGGAGCAGCAGCTTTCAGAAGTGGACCTCTGCTGAAGGAACAAACCAGGAAACCAATGCTTTAATAAAGCATTTTAATAATAATATATTTATTTATTGGATTTATAAACGGCACCCAATACAGGACTATTTTAAAAATAATTTTAAACTGCCTCTTGTCTTATTTTTAATGATGAGTTTTCAAAGTGTTCCTTCCCATGTTTCATGTGCTTGCAGCATAATCCAAGGCATGGTCTAGGCCAGGGGCCGACAACCTTTAACACTCAAAGAGCCATTTGGATCCGTTTCCCACAGAAAAGAAAACACCGGGAGCCGCAAAACCCTTTTGACCACTCAAATGAAGATAACACTGCATATATCGTTTTTTACCTTTATGCTGTGTATAAAAAAACCTTTATTTATTTATTTATTTATTTAAACCATTTCTATGCCGCCCCATTCGCAAAAAGCCTTGGGGCAGCTTACAACATTAATAAATAAACAGTTATATAATTAGACTTAAAAACCCGGAAACATCTCGGCACGTACATAAAAACACACTATAGTGTGTTGCATGTATGAAATCAATGAACTGCTACAGAGAAAACAAATTTTTATTTCTGCATGCAACAAAAACATTTTGAACTCTGAAAAAAAGACGCTGGGTTGACAGTTACTTTCAAATAAAATAGTCAATGTCTATTTGAGTCCTTGAGTTATTTATGAAATAAATAACTGAGTTATGAAATTGAGCTATTTATGAAATAAAAAGCCAAACTTAAATTATCCACCTGCAGCAAACCAAAAATTGCCGCCTGCTTCTGTGTGCCCTCATCCTTTAGCATGTGTACCGGAGGGTGCTGTCAGCTGTCAACCTGAATAAAGAAAGGACTAATGGATACTTTCATACAGTAAGTAGAGTTTCTGCAATAAAACAAATATAAATAACAGTCTGGTGAAATATTGAACAAACATCCCTCTCCCAATGTGATAATGTTGCTGGAATTTTTATAAGAATCTTCTTAAAACAAGGAAGTAGATCTATATCTCCATTATGATTTAGCTGCAGCTCTTGTTCAGTCACTAAAAACTGTTATTTTTAATCTTACATTATAAACTAGTAGAACTCCTTTCATATATTTTGAACAGGAGAACAGCTTCCTGCAGAGTCAAAGTCAGTGCTAAAGGGCTGCATGCATTAAACAGCAAACCCCATAAGTTCGTCAGCAGTAAAAGCAAATGAATCTACCCACGTATCATTAAACCTTTGGTTTTCTTCAGAAACTTTTCTTTTCATCAATTTATCCATGGTTGGCCTACTGGGGGAAAAAGCTCAGTTAATCATGAAAAGCTCAGGAAATTGGCGTCTGTCGCTGATCGGCAGCTGTGCTGGCGTGTGTTTTGAGCGACGGAGCAGCAGCAGAGGATTCAAGAGCCACGTGTGGCTCCGGAGCCACGGGTTGCTGACCCCAGTCTAGGCCAATAAATGCAAACCTTTTAGAGACCAAGTGCCCAGATCACAACCCAAAACCCACTTATTTATCACAAAGTGCCAACACTGCAATAAAACCTGAATACTGAGGCTTTAGTTTTCATAAATTCTTCACAAACAACTAAATATGATGCTGCAGATTCAAATATGCCAGGGGGACAGAGCAACATTAAAAGAATCGCAGTCTCTTAATTAGAACATCTCTTTGCTAAATCTTAGATATTAAATTTCAATTTTTCATAAGAAACCTCAGAGCTAAAATCTTGTGTTAATTAAAACGAATGTATTAAAACTCACAGCCAGTCCAAGCAAATATATATATATCCTTGGCAGTGCATTGACTGGCCATGCGAGAGCTCAGATGAGTGGTGGCTTCTGACGTCATCGCCTGGCGCGCTACCCCTTTCTGAGGATACACATGGCCCCTGTGTGCGCTGTTGTCCGACGCTCGGCTGCTGGGGCGATGCAGGTGCCGCAGGTTCGCCACCACTGGTCTAGGCAAGAAAGGCCCCGCAGCTTCCAGGAGGACCCGTCAGGACCTTTCCTCAGCCTAAACATGCACTGGATTGCACCCACAGTGCAATTTCTCCCTTCAAATTAATTTCTAGATTACTGGTACAGCTTTGAATGCTTCACAACATTGTTTTAATGTGTTTTCTCTGCAGTTTCATTGGTTTGGTTTGTATTATACTGGGCACCCTGAGAGCTTGCGCTAGAGGGCACTCATAAATGGAAAATCGTAACAAGAATAATTGCCCTTTTGTCCTGCCCTTCCTCAAGGCTGCGAGTCCTCCCCCCGACCCCCACAGAACCCTGCTAGAAGGCCCGGTGCTGAGAATGTGACCAGCACAAAGTCCCCACTTGAGTTTCGTGGCACAGCAGGATTTGAACCCAGGCCTGGCACTCCATTTCCAGCACTACAGGCCTCTGCCCCACATGTCATGGAGCAGGAGAGCCAGCATTTGGTCTCCTACTACCTGGGTTGGTCTTCTTTCAGCTCCTGGTCAGCCACCACAGGTAAGTGGCCATCCATGACCAGTCACATTCTATCTGTTAAGCAGCAGGAGAGCAGGGAGGCTGGTCAGTGCTTGTAGGATTTCTGTTCAAATTATACCTGACTGGCCTTTGAGGAGTCTCATTGATCCCTTGCAGTGCTCAGATGTGATGCTTTTTCTCTAGCCAGTGTGGCCTAGTGGTTGGAGAGCAGGGCTGGGGAGACCTGGGTTCAAGCCCTCCCACAGTCATGATCTTCACTGAGTGACTTGGGGGCACTCCTCCGCTGTCAGCCTAAGCTGCCTCAGAAAGCCCATATAGTACAGCAGTTAGTGGTGGGCTGGGACTGGGGAGATCCAGGTTGTAGTCCCCACCTGGCTGAGAAAATGTGTGGGTAACCCTGAACCAGTCACCAGTGTGGAACTTTACCTACCTCACAGGGCTGTTGTGAGGAAAATCTTTAAAAGGGTTATGCAACCCTCCCTGGGTTCTTTATGGGAAAAAGGAGGTGAGATATAAATGAGAAATGCATATAATACTCAAAGAAAGCACTTTCTGGTGGGCAGCTAGCGGCACGGCCCTGAAACAAGGTTTGAGAACAAGTTACTTGCAGGGCCACAACGCTTTGGCCCCAGGGCCTGAGTGTTGGCGCTGCCACTGTAAAGATCCCCGGGCAGCTGCAGAGGCTGTTTCGGAAGGAGGCTTTGGCCAGGAGCAGGGATGTTCCCTGCGCTGAAGCCATCACCTAGTCGGATATGAAGTCCTTAGCAATCCCAAAGCACTTGCTCTCCCACCAAGTCCAGGTTTTGCAGATTTTATTTTACATTTTTTGCGTCAAATGCAAGTGATGCTCTGGTTTCCTGAAGACCTGATTTTTGCTTGCTGCCACGCAGATCAGGAGGAGCGTGGGCGTCACGCCTTGAGAAAAGGGCGCGCGTTCACACACCGAAGCACAGAATGGCAGTGTGACAAATCTTTCCAAATGGATGAGGCCCCCTTCCTTTTTCTTTTTTTTAAGCAAACCTAGCTCGAAAAAAAATAATAAATGCATGCGCCACCCATCCTCCAGACGTTTCCTGGACCGGATGCTGCCACAGCCGCACAGAACATCTCTGTCATTAAAGCAAACGGCTGCGCACACCTCTCTCCCTCAGTCCCGGCACACAAAAGCCAAGCCATTCAGCGCCCTTAAGTGGTTTAAGCGGCTGCTGGCTTGCAGCGCGGAGGGGGAAACGTAGCAGGAAAAGGGCTCAGAAGGAATGCCGCGCGGAATTCAGGACTAGGCGCATAACTGGGGGGCAGGGAGGGAAGGAGAGGGCCGGGTCGCGTCGGGCGGAGCGCTTGCAGCTGTCAGGCGCAGCCGTGCCTCGCCGGCGGACGACGGCATTCGGCACCCCCAGGAAGGCCTCGCAAGCAGACGCAGGATGCGCCGCTGGAGTCGGGCTGGAACCGCCTGAGCGACGGCGGCAAGGAGACACGCCGATGCGGTAAGTCGAGGGAGCTTGCGATGGATGCTGCTCCTCCCGGGCCCTCGGGATGACGGCATGGCGCGGTTCTCGCTGCACAATGGAGCGCTGGCAGGACCGCGCGGTCGTGGTGCCGCGGGCCAAGGCTGGGCTGGGCATCGCTGCTTCGGTGCGGATTGCCAGGTCATGCACGCAACGCCCGGTGACTGACTGGGGTCGGGGTGGGGGTGGCTTTGCCAGCGATTTATTTGCATGTGTTTAAAGCACTCTCCAGCAGAAGACATAATAGGAAGGTAGTAAATGAAATAATCCTTTGCAGAATCAAGTTATGTGCAATAATGGAAACATGGAAAAGCCCACCCGTGTGGAACAGTGACTTGAGGACTGGGCTTGGGGGCTTGGGAGACAAGGATTGCAAGCAGCTTGGGGGACCTGGGGCCTGCTACTAGCTCTCAGCCTGACCTACCTCGCAGGGTGGTTGCAAATGTAAAAATGGAGAGGAGGAGGCCCCTGTTGGCCACCTGGGGAAGAACGGAGGCCATGCATGCAAAACTGATGCACAAATACGGCATCCTGTAAGGCCAGGATTGTCCCTCCCTGCTGATCCCCAGCAAAAAGGCTTGGCCAGCAACTGGAGTGGTGCTGAGCAAGTGCAAGGATGCTGCGTTTATCCGTGGGAGATCTTCACCGGCAGCTCAGGTCCCCCCAAATCCCCAAGCAGCTTGCATCCTTCCCACCCAGTGGGAAAAGCACTCCACAAACTGGGGGCCTCAACAGACCTGTTTATCAAGGAGTGCCGCATTCAGGCCCCAGAAGTGCATCCTTTCACACTTTGAAAAATATACCCAGCTGCTTTCTTTCAAGTGGGGCCTTTTGCTCTCCAGGTTTTCAGGCAGGATCATTCCCAGCCCAGGTGAACACACCAGAGATTGAATCTCAGACCCTCTGTGTCCCAGCACTCAGCTATAGTCCTTCCCTTAAAAATAAGATGCTTTTTAAAAGGTTCCAGGCCTCATGGTTCTAAGTAACAGGCTGGTATGAAGCTACTGAAAGTAGGAATAACTGGGTGAAAGGCAGCTCGACATGTATGAATACTTTCATCAATAAATCAAGAAAAGCCCTTCCATTTGGGTTCCATCTCACTTCAGACTGCCTGCTCAGGCCTTTCTGCTCTACCAGTGGGCCTCAAGACATCTCAGGCTTCTGGTCCACATGGCTCTGAATTCAGGGCTGATTTTTCACATGCAGGCAGCTGCCTGCCAGAGAGGGTGGGACCCCGCCACTTCAGGGCCATTCTGCACAGATTGTCAGTGCCTCACCACAGTTCTCTGGGGGTCTTTTCCAGCCCTACTAGAGATTCAGGGATCAAACCTGGCATCTTGTGCAAGGAAGCCTGGGACCCTGTGTTCCTCCAGATGTGCTGCCTGCGCTGTGCAGAGGAGGCAGGACTGCTCAGGTGGTCCCACTCAGGAGGAGACCTGGCTTCTAATTGCCACCTTGCAAGCTTGGATAAGGAGTGAGGGAGATGGAGCCAGGAGCATGCTGTGCACCTTCACGACCAGCCAGCAAATCTGCGGCAGAGGCCAAGGCTTGGATCAAGGCCTTCTCATCTTGTAGCTGTCTGTACTCCAGCCTGGCCATCCTGGTGCCGGCAGGGCTGTACCAGCCCCCTGCTTCTTCCCCTCTTCCCTCCGCTTCTATTTTTCCTCTGATGTCGTGCTTTTCTGATTGTAATGCCTTTGTTTTATGGATGCCTGTATGTGCTCCTGAAGCATTTTCAAGGCCAAGCAGAGTGTTTTTAAAATGTTTTAAATAAATAAAAAAAAAGATCAGAGAAGGTGGGGAGGTAAGATCAGTCAAAGGACATGTTTTGGTGCTGACGCGAATGGTGCCTCGGGATGCAGGAAGATCTGAACTGGGCACTGTGCTGGTACAGTTTTAAAAAAAACTGCCGGAAGCTTTTCATTTTGTGTGTGCATTTACTTTGGTTTAACAGAGATGCTATTTGTATTTTATTTTTTCTAGCTGCCTTGAAAAAATTTTGAGAGCCAATTTCAATGCCACTTATTAATAAATACAAGTGTCGTCATCAAGATCCCCTATGAGCATGTGCAAAATCTCCATTAACCTGCTCATATATGTAAAGAAATGATACTCAAATGCCATGAACTTCCTGGTCTCTCTTTCAAAGGAGGCTTGAATCCGGGGTAACATTGGCACTCTGGGAATTCTTCCCACCCATATAATTGGGTTGCAATGGGGTAGCAATTCAAATAGGCAAGGAAGCAAGATTAATATCCAGAAAAAATAGAGATCGCTGCATTTTGAGAAAAAGCAGCTTTCTGTTCAGGCTTGGGATGAGGCTGCTGGGCTGCAGCCCCAAGTCTTCCATTTGAAACATAGAAACAGAGCGAGCCAGAAGGGGTCTCCCGGGCCATCTAGTCTGACCCCCGGCTCCAGCCGGCTCCGCTCACAACATGCCCACCATGTGCACGTCCAGCCTATCCTTGAACACCCTCACAAGTGGGGCCTCAACGACCTCTCATGGAAGCCCATTCCACACCCTCGGGGTCCTGACTGTCAGGAAGTGCTTCCTGGCATCCAGATGGAACCTGGGTTCCCTGAGCTTTGCTCCATTGGAGCACTTCCTGCCTTCCTCTGCAGGGGAGAACAGGTCTCTGCCCACCTCCGTGTGACACCCCCTCACATACCTGTATGCTGCCAACATATCCCCTCCGAGTCTCCTCTTCTCCAGGCTGAAGAGACCCATTTCCCTCAGTCTCACCTCATACGGCATCCCCTGCAAGCCGGCCACCAACCTTGTGGCCCTACGCTGCACTGACTCCAACCTGGCTATATCCTTTCTGTAACGAGGGGCCCAGAACTGAGCACAATACTCCAGTTGCGGGCGCACCAGAGTCGTGTAGAGTGGTGGCATTCGCCCTCTTGACCACCGCATCACACTGCTGACTTATGTTCAGCCTGCAGTCGACCAGCACCCCGAGGTCCCTTTCACAAGTGCTGCTCTCCAGCCACTTGTCACCTAATCTGTACTTATGACGCCCATTCCTATGCCCCAAGTGCAAGACCTTGCACTTATCCACACTGAACCCCATCCTGTTGTCTCCTGCCCACTTCCATAGTCTGTCCAGATCCTTTTGAAGGCCCAAATCTCTGGGTCGCCCTCTGCCCCAGCACCCACTGTCCAAGCCGCTTGCTGAAGTAAAGTCCAGGGACCCCAAGGATCTCTGGGGCATCTGATCCCCCTGAATTAGTCAGCTTTTGGCCCACTCGTGTTTTGCCTGCTGCTTGAATCTGTCTGCCTGAGATCTTTTCCATGCAATCACAAGCCCTCCCTCCTTTCTCTTGATTTACGTTCCTTCTTACAAATAGGTATGTCCTTGGGAGTAAGCCCCATTTAAAGGCAAGTACACACCCAGAGAGAGACTTAGGGGTATATATAAGTAGCGTGTGCACATTTATGATTTTTTTCTTGGTCCTGTGCTGCATGAGCCCTAGACCTTAGCAGAACCAAGCACATTCCTGTTTTTACCAGGGAAACATTTTTTGGGAAGGAGCCCCATAAAGAATATAACCAAGTCAAACCCCGAGACTGGCGCTGAAATGATCTATCCATCCTCTCCAAAGCTGGATGCTTTCTGAGCCCCCCTCCCCATTTTTCTTCTTTCTAAAAGCTTGCTTCTTCTATTCCAGACTGGCTTCCACTGCAATTTAACCTTCCTGGACTCACCAGTCCGTGTCACGCAGAGCACAATGGGTACCACGGAAGCCACACTGAGGATGGAGAATGTGGATGTGAAGGAAGAGTGGCAAGATGAAGACTTCCCCAGGTTGGTAGAAAGGAACTGGCTGCCCTCTGGGGAAATTGAGGGTGGGGCTCCCCATGCCATGAGCAAGACAAGCCCTGCCCACCAGTGCTATGGGAGGGCAATGCACAATCAGGAGGGAGCGCCTGGGGAAGGTACTGTGTCGCATCCTTGGATTTGGTGGCAACAGCCCAGACCTCAAAGGAGCTGTCCATGGTGCTAGGAGGTGGTTTAGGAGGTCCGGCACCATGGACAGCTCATTCACCACCCAGACTAGCTGCAGTGTCCCACTTTGCAGCCTTCTTGGGAAAACTCTTTCTGCCTGTCTCAGTCTGAAGTCTACCTAAGCCCTGAGAGAGTTGTTCCCATCCGAGCAGATGATCCCTGTGCTAGAGGGACAGATAGTCTGCCCTGGCACAAGGAAGCTTCCCAGCATGCTGTGTAAATCCACCCTGTATTTGGAATCAGGAGTTGCGTCCATGCTTGGAAAAGAGCCCTCCCTCAAGGGCACCACGGCCATCCTGCACACAGAAAGCCGCCCCTTCCCCCAGTCTGTAGTATTTTTAGTCAAAAGGTAGTAAGGTATGGAGGAAATCTATATCTGAGACCCCCAAAGATCAGCTGCTGGTCAGATAGGCTGATTCTGGCCTTGCAGAAATTCTTGTAGTCAAGAGAACAAATTTCATTTCAGAGAATCTCTCAGGGGCCAGGATCTGGGGGTGAGCAGGCCCAAAGAAAAGCCCCCCCCCCCATGCACATATTTAAGTTCATATGGCTAGTAACAAAATCACAGGAAAGGCATTTCAAACTTAACTTAACAAAAGTTGCACAAAAGCCAGAAATTCTCCCCAAGACTGATGGCTAGGGGAAGGAAGTATATGCCCAGGGAAGGGGTGTGGCTATCCAGGGACCTGTGTGGCCCGTGGCTTCTCAGCCCTGGCCTAGAGAGAAGTTCCTGCCAAGTCTGGCCGGGTTCAGGCACAAGGGAATAAAATGCATGCTATTCAGCACACCTTCTGCTTCCAAGGGCCCTGGGCAAGGCCAAGCGGCACGTGAGCCCCTGAAGTTCCTCGTACACTCCCTGCACCACATGGAGCTGGTTGGCCCACAGCTCAGGGGCTGCTCTCTGGGCAGGCTGGTTTGGAAACATGACCTGGAACGAGGATGCCTGGGAACCGCTGGCCTGGGGCAGGAGGGGGGGCTCCCAGTCCAGTGGCTGATGGGGCCATTCTTCGGGAGCAGGAGGGGCCGTTGCCCAGGAGCAGAGTGTGTGGGGCGCATGCAAGAGGCTCACGGCTGGATGCTCTCCTTCAGTGTGCCCAATGGAGCAGTGGTTCCCAAACCGTGTTCCGCAGAACCCTAGGGTTTCACAAAACTCTGGCAGGGGTTCTGTGAAAAATCTCAAAAGTAAACTTAAAGCAGATTTTAAAACGAAACCACACAAGGCCAACTATTCAGTCGTCGGTTGGCATCCAAGCAGCAAACAAGGAAACACATCACATTATTTGTTTCCTAGGATTCCATTGTGTGCCATGGTGTTGGGAATAATCTAAATAATTCATTTGGGATATGACTATGTAACTGCTTTATTTACTTGTTGTATTTAAAATGTTTTCTCTTCCAAACCTGCTATGTTAGGCAAAGCACTCAGGGAGGAGGAGCAGATGAAAGAAGGAAAAACATTGTGGGTTCACAGTGCTTAGTAAAAATCACAGGCAGAGTCAGGACTCCGGGAAATAATGTCTTCAGAAAGTTTTCATGACTGCTGGAGTTTGGGAACCGCTGGACTAGACGGACTGCAGGATTGGCACCTTACTGCAACTGGGTCAGTGTTGCTGGGTGGCCCCTAGCGCTGGAACCCGAATCTTTCCTTGGGAGCCCTGAACTTCTGGGAAACCCCTGCTCTGCCTCCTGCTGTCCAGGATCCCCCAGTGACCCCTGTTGCCTGGCAGGCCCTGGATAAGCTCTGTTGCCTGTTCCATCCGCATGTGTGTCTCCTCTTCCTGCCTGTCCCCTTGAATCTTCCTGCCTCAGTTTTTTTCAGAAATCATGGGCCTTTCCTCCTCCTTTTTTACAGACAGGTGCATTGTTAGGAACTGGGCGCATACGGAGAGACTTAGTGCAAATGCAGATGCACAACTTTGGCATAACCTGCAGGCAGCTTATTGGGGTGGCCGTTCTGCCTGGGCCTCTTCTCACGCAGGTCCAGGCTCATAGTCCTCTTGGGATGCCCAGGGGCACTGCCTGAGCAATACTCTCAACCTGGCCAGGGAAGCCAGCACTCTGGGCACTGGCCCCCTAGCCAGGTCACAAAACGACCCGCGGAAAGGATGCCGCCATGGCCAGTGGCGCACAGGGACTCCCTGCCCAGCTGTAGCGAACCTCTGCTGGGGACCGGGGGATTCCACGCTCCGAGCACAGTAGGCTCCCTGTCCTGCTGCAGCTGCCCGGGCACAAGACGCCGGAGGAGCAGACGGGACTGCCTGAGCAAAGCCCTCTCTTCTCTTCCTCTCCACAGATCACTAGCTGACCCTCTGTCTAGGAAAGCGGCAGCTGCAGAGGGCAAACATAAGAAGCTCTTTCTTCAGCTTCTGCTCAGTGGCAGAAGGCCTGCTTTGCCTGCCAAATAAATATGTGAGTCAATCAGTCCTGGGGATCTTGCCTAGTGTCTCCACATCGGAAACAGAATGGTTCTTGCCCTCGGAGAGGTGCCACCGGTCAACAGGTGGACTGTCCAGAGCTAGAAATGAGTCCATGGGACTGGCCACTCCTGGAAAGCTCCCCATTTCAGTTCAGCCCTTGATGCTTGCACTTGGGGCATAGGAAGGGGTGTCATAAGTGCAGGTTAGGGGACAAGTGGCTGGAGAGCAGCGCTTGTGAAAGGGACCTCAGGGTGCTGGTTGACTGCAGGCTGAACGTGAGTCAGCCGTGTGATGCGGTGGTCAAGAGAGCGAACGCCACCCTTGGTTGCATAGCCAGAAGTGTGGCTTCTAGATCAAGAGAGGTATTACTACCACTCTATACGACTCTGGTGCGCCCACAACTGGAGTATTGTGCTCAGTTTTGGACCCCTCATTACAGAAAGGATATAGCCAGGTTAGAGTCAGTGCAGTGTAGGGCCACGAGGTTGGTGGCCGGCTTGCAGGGGATGCCGTATGAGGCGAGACTGAGGGAACTGGGTCTCTTCAGCCTGGAGAAGAGGAGACTCAGAGGGGATCTGTTGGCAACACATAGGTATGTGAGGGGGTGTCACACAGAGGTGGGCAGAGACCTGTTCTCCCCTGCAGAGGAAGGCAGGATGCGCTCCAATGGAGCAAAGCTCAGGGAACCCAGGTTCCATTTAGTTACCAGGAAGCACTTCCTGACAGTTGGGACCCTGAGGGTATGGAATGGGCTTCCACGGGAGGTGGTTGAGACCCCATCGGTGAGGATGTTCAAGGATAGGCTGGACATGTACATGGTGGGCATGTTGTGAGCGGAGCCGGCTGGAGCCGGGGGTCAGACTAGATGGCCCGGGAGGCCCCTTCTCTGTTTCTATGTTTCTATGAGCACTGTGATCTTGCTTTGTTTTTAGAGGAAGGGCTGTAGCTCTTGGACAGAGCACCCAACTTGGCAAGCAAAGGGTTACAGGTTCAATTCCTAGTATCTCTAAACTTTAATTTCTGCATGTCCCAGTTCAGGACACAAACAGTGCTGGAAGGAGCTGGTTGTTCAAGACCTGGAAGAGGCCGGGGAATCCCTGTGCTACCTCCAGAGATAACCAAAGCATTCCCCTCTGTACTGTTGGTGCTGGAAAGGATAAAATAGGGATTGGATTAGGCTTGGAGCCTGGAGGCTGTCCTTTTTGGGGTTGAACAGCCCTCAAATAACCTGCAACAGACCAGAGAGGCTGTGGTCGTCATGCAAACCAGGTCAGGGTGCAAAAGCAGTAGCCAGAAGGGAATCTGTCATGAAAGGGCCCTGGCGTTGGGGGAACTCCTGCTTCACAGACAGGCAGTCCAAATTCAAGCCAGGAGAGGCTGGAAATATGTTGGGCTGGACATGGGATAGATGCCACCTGTTCCTGCAGCCAGGGCTGACCCCTGTGACTGAGGGCTTGACTGCCAGTGATGCAACTCAACTTCCTGAAGGTTCTGCTGGCACAGCTGAGTGCCAAGCAAGGAGAAGAGGGCAGCTCCCGCTTGTGTCTATTTGGGCAATGCAGGTTTCTCTATCCAGGCAAGAGGAGGTTTGAATTGAAGCCGCTGCCCAGACAGTGCAGCAAATCCAGTTCATGAACCTGTGTGGATAAAGACAGCATTTGCCAACAAGAAATCCTGATTATTTTGAGTTGAAGGCCCAGGCAGTCAGGCCTGGTTGGTTAAATTGGCCAGAATTGCTTGGGGCTGGAATGTTATGTAATCGGCAGGAAGGTTTCCCTTTGAAAACACTACGAAGGAAAAGAAGAGACAAGCCAAACCGAGCCAGCAGCAGCTCGAATGTTATGTCAACATCTCCCAGGCAGGCAGTGCTGCTCACGTGCTTTGCCAAGATAAATCCGTCCGGCTGCAAAAGCCAGGGGCTCTGCATCCCCAGGTGGCCGAAGGAAGAACTTAACAGCAGCCAGTCTGCCTGGGGAGATTACGTGTCCAGTTCGCCCCAGCTGCAGTAATACGGGGGGGGGGGGGAGATCTGAGCTCAAGAACGAACTGAGGAGGAAACAGAACCAGCCATGACTCTATCTGCCCCCCAATGAAAGGTTAAGTATCTCTCCATTTGTGGCTTGTCTCAGATGCATAGAGCCTTCCGGCCCTGTAAGGATGCTCAGAGGCTGAGATTCTGTGAGCATGCTCAGGAAGGGACCCCTGGCAAAGGCAGGGCGGTTTCGTGGCAGAGCTAAACTATCATATGATCAGCACACACCAAAATGGTGACCAGCTGGACCAGTTCAAGGGACTCCGTGGGAGGAAAGGGAGAGAGAAGAGCAGCAGTGGAGAAGTGGGAAGGAAAGGAAGGAGGATGGTGCATTTTCTCAGATGTGCATA